CAACTCCAGGTTCAATGAATGATCATGTCTTGGAAAACACTAGGTCAAGAACAATCAAGGAGCACACTTGTCAACTTCTGGCCTTCGAGTGCATCCTCAAGCCCACGTGCATAGAGTACACACACACACACACACACACACACACACACACACACACACACAGTGTGATAAAGGCTGTCAAAGGCTTCCCTATCAGTGATGGGACCAGGGCTGCCAAAGCAGATCAGTACAGAAGGGGCAGATGGTTGTGGTTTCAAGTGTGTTGTGTTGGCAATGTCCATGGGGCACTGAGGAGGGGCCATTTTATAACACTTGGAATGTGGAACTGGTGTTAGGGGAAGAGACCTCCAAGAAGAAATCTGGAACCTATCATTTTATGGTGGAGAATTACGCTATAGATGTGTACACCATTTCCCGGGGCATCTTGGAGTAAGATATGTCATCTGAGTGAGTATGCAGCCCTGAGTTCTAGCCAGATATGGGGCTGTGGCTGGGAAAACACTGGAAACCGAGAGAGACAGAGAGAAACTCAGTGAGGCAGATAGTTTGAGGAAGTTTTTAACAACCTCAAATGCCACCTAGTGGTTATTTCATCCTAACACTAGTCTAGCAGTCACTTGTCGCATCGCTTCGGCCAAATACCTGGCAGGAGCAGCTTAGGGAAAGAAGAAAGGCTTGTTAGGATCACAGTTGCAGGGGACACCGTCTATTGTGACAGAAAAATGACTGTGGCAGGAACAGGAGGTGCATGGGCACATTCAGGGCATGTGGGCACATTGTCCCATCTCAGTTGATCTAATCTAACCCCCTCAAAGAAAAAAGAGAGGAGAAGCAGAGGAGGCAGAGGCAGAGGTGGAGGCAGATTTGGGGACAGAGGCTGAGGCAGAGTGGGAGGAGGGGGGGAGAAGGAAGGTGGAGAAGGAGGAGGGGGAAAGGAAAGGAAGAAGAAGGAGGAGGAAGAAGAGGAAGAAAAGAGAAGAACCCCTTATTGACACCCCCAGAAGTTTTAATCCTCGGTGAATCTAGAGCTTGGGTGACAATCAGAATTGACCATCACAAGCAAGGGTGTCAATTTTTGTTTGGTAAAAACAGTTCCAGCAGGAGGTAGTAGAGACAGAAGCGAAGTCTCTGGCTTTGTGAGCCATGAAGATGAGCACAGAGGATGAATATGAAGATTACACACATGGGAAGAAAAACATGCCTTAACTTACTGCGTAACTTTTCCACTAAAATAATTGAATATATTAAAGATGATCAAAATCAAACACTTGAATGAGTATGTCATGTGGACTGGATATGGGAAATATCCACATATTTTGTTCTGGGCTATAATATAACACCCCCCCCTTTCTTGTTAATGACAAGAAGCCTTTTTTTTTCCTTCAAGAATTAAACACAATGCCTATTCAGCAGTAGGTCCATACTCATTGTGGCTCTCATGTGGAGATGGACGGATGGATGGATGGATGGATGGGTGGATGGAATATAGATGGATGGATGGATGGATGGATAGATTGAATATAGATGGATGGACGGACGGACAGGGTGGGTGAGTGGATGAATGGATGGATGGATGAGGTGGGTGGATGGAAGCATGATGATAAATAGGAGAATGTATGCAAATGACCCCAGACATATCAGGGTCATTTATTCCTAATTTAAAATGAAGTTAAAAGATAGGGAATTAAAGAGAACCATGCTGAAATATATATGATGCACACCAAAAATTATTCTTTTAATTCTTAAGTAGCCTGGAATATTTCAGTCCACTCATTTCTCTTC